TCGTCTGAGCAATCGGAGCTGAAGCTCAAATCAATTACCCCATTGGGGCTTCCTGGAAGCAATAGGCCATCGATTCCGATTATCAGAACGAAAACCCCCATCGATTCCTCTGTCTTTCCTACTTCATCCTCGCAACCAACCCATAGTTGACGGAGGACCGATCAATAGACAGGTGTGGCGAGAATCGGTTCTCGAGTCTAACAGGTTTCTTCTAAGCCAACTCGGCGGGAATAAGAAGCGTCGCCCTCTGAGTACTCGCCCGCAGCAGCGAGGACGACAGCGGCGACAGGTTCAGGCGGCCGAGGCGGAAGTGGTGCAGCTTGGTCGCCGGCAACGGCCAGAGGAAATAAAATATTTATTTTTTTATTTTTTAATAGTTTTTAAAATGAGGTGGAAATTATAAAAATATTAAATATTATTTTTTATAATTTTTTAATTGCCATGTCACACATTTAACGGTCAAAGATCAGAGTTGACTGCCACATCAGCGAAAGTTAACGGAGATTAACGGAGAGTGACCAAACTTGAACTGTTAACCTAATTTAAGTGACTATAAATGGAATTAATTAATTTGAGTGGCAAACGTGAAATTTTGTAGCAATTCGAGTGACCAAACTTGCAATTAAGCCGTTCTATAAATGAGGGTATGGGAAGTAAGTTGACGCTGTCCTCCATACTCAATCAACTAGTTTGGTTTTGCAAAAGAAGGCTTTGGTTTGAATTTTTAAGAAAGTACTTTAAAAAAAAATCAGTTTAGTATTTGGCTAAATAATTATTAGAAATATTTTTTAATATAAAAAATCATGTAAATGACTAAAATGTATTTCTAATATAAGATATGAATAAAAATTCTAAGAAATATAAAGTAGTCAAAATAGATATTGTCAGATTTCTTTTATACTAAATACTATTTTTAATTATTTTTAAAATTAATGAATGTATGTTTTATGGAAATTTTTTAAAAAAATGATAAGGATAATCTTATATGTTTAAAACAGTTTTTTGCTTATGTTATAAAAATACTTCTTCAACTTTTTTAAAACTTTTGTATTTTCAAAAGTCGAGTTTTTTGAGGTGTTTGACGCAGTTTCAACTTTTGAAGCGTTAAAGTGCTTTCTAATAGTCAAGCCAAACATAAACAATATCTTAAAACTCTGCCTTGTTTCATACCGTCAGCGAAAGAAGTTTAAAGGCAGTTAAATTTATATGCTTCTCTTTCGTTGTCGAATATACCAGATGATGAGCATTAGATAAGAAGTCTTGCTTTCGGGTCACTTTATGGTCTTATATAATTTTCAAATCGAGTTGTATTATAGTTGTTCAGATGATCTCAATAAAAAAAGGCTTCACTGAGGAAAATCTTTCGTTTTTTTCCATTCATATAGTTAAGTCGGTAATGATTTATACATTGGATAGTAGAGAGATTAAAGTACAAGTTACCATCCATTTTCTTAATCGCGTTAAATACCCTTATATGTTATATGTAACATCCACGTGGACCAAGTTGGGCTGAAAGACATTGAGACCTATAAATGAGTTTCTACACTTTTTGTTGTTGTATTATACGAGTTTACGGGTTTAACCCTAATCATTGTTCGGTATGTCCGTCGTTGCTAATGAACTTGAGTTGATTGTGGTATCATTATACAGATTTAACATAAGGTTTTGTGATATGAGAGTGAGTTATCAGATTTAGCATAATGGACAACTGCATTCAACTGGGCAACTGACCCTCTCATTCTTGGCTTCAATGAGCCAGAGATACAACTTATTTTAGGTGGAATTTCGCGTGATCAATGTACCCTGATTTCGAAAAAATAGAAAACGGTGTTACTCGGTTCACACCTTTTCAAACATCCATAAAGCATAAGAAATCATGACCTGTGGGCTGTGAGCCTCTTAATAATCTGATCAATGAAGGGTTGAGGGAAGTAATCCTTTGTGGTAGGCATCGTTCAGTCGACAATAATCAATGCACAGCCTCCAACCTGTCACTTTTCTTATTGGAATTAAATCTTTTCTCATTCGACACCACAATCATGCCTCCCTTTTTTGGTAATAACTTAGTGGGACTGACCCACTCACTATCAGATAGATGATTCCTGCATATAGAAGTTTGATCACTTCTGCTTTAACCACTTCCTTCATATGTGGGTTTAACCGCCTCTGAGGCTGCACCACCAGCTTAATGCCATCCTACATGAGGATCTTGTGGGAGCATAAAGATGGACTAATAACCTGGGATATCAATGATCTTCCATGCCAGTGCTCACTCATGGTTCCTTAGTAAGTCCACCAGTCTAGTCTTATGCTTGGTGTGAGATCTAAGCTAATGATAATTAAAAGCTTATTCGCCTCCTTCGAGAAAGCATACTCGAGGTAACTAGGGAGGGGCTTAAGCTCTAAGTCTGGTGGCTCCTCCAAGGAGGTGGTGATCCTAGCATATTTGGAAAATGGCTCCACTATTGGCTCATACTCTCTACTAGTCGCGGTTCTTCAGATGTCTGATCTCCTACCAAAAGAAATTAATTAAGAGAATCATCAGTACCAACACTCATGATAGCGAGTGTTGTCTTGAAATCAGACAATATCCCAATATTCCAGATTATCATGCATATGAGAGTGCTTCATATTATCATAAATGGAAAAATTTATTTGTGATCCCCATTCGGCAGTATAAGTTTCTCATCAAGCACATCAATTAGTGACTTGGCGGTGGCCAAAAAAGGTCTATATAATATCAAAGACACATCCAAATCTTCATTTATGTCCAAAATCATGAAACCAATAGGAAAAATGAATGTGTCAACTTTAACAAGAAGATTCTCTACTATACCTCTATGATGCACAATAGAATGATCAACCAATTGAATACTCATCCTACTAGTACTAACTTCACCTAGGCCTAGCTTCTCAAACAATTTATATGGCATGATATTTATGATAACGCCTAGATCCGCCAAAGACTTTCCTACATGCATAGAACCAATGATACATGGGATAGTCAAACTTCCTAGGTCTTTTCTCTTTTCGAGCAGCTTGTTCTGCATTGTGGCAAGTACTCCACATTTAGCATCACAGTGGAGAGATCTCCAACTTTCTTCTTGTTGGTGAGGATGTTCTTCAAGAACTTAGCATACATGGGCATATGTGAGAAAGCATCCACAAATGGCATATTGATGTGCACCTACTTTAGCATCATTGTGAATTTGGCAAATTCAGCCTCTACCCTATCCTTGTGCATTTGACTGGGGAAAGAAATTGATGTACATATCCCTTCACCATTGGCTTTGGTTTGGAATGTGGCACCTCATTCTCCTTCTCTTCTTCCTCAACAGTCATTGGCAACACTGGAGTGGATTGCACCTAATCCTCCTGCTTAGGAGAAGAACCATCTTTGGTCTCCTTCCCGCTCCTGGGAATTAGAGTCTTCATATCGGCTCTCTAGTCCTTGTGATTTGGAACGGAAAGACACGAGAGTGCATTAGGAGCTCTTACAATATGGTCCCAATCTAAAACTTGTTCTTAAGCCATATTCACGTACGTACTAGGACCTGGAATATGAAAAAGAAACATAACCTAGCATGAAATAGGCCAAGGAAAGAATAATTCCAAGCCAAAAGATCAAGAATTGAGGACCAAAATATGTACAATTCTGTGCTTACCAGACATCCATTCGAAGCATTCTGTGATGAAATGGGGATAAATCATAACTTTTGAACTTTGAGGACCCCAACAGAACGGTGTTGTAGAAAGGAAAAAATAGTGCTTCTACGTGAATTTGATCTACATAAAGGATTTTAGGCTAAAACTGTGAATACAATATGTTTCATAATAATGCGATACAGATTTGATCACAACACTAGTGGAACACTGGAGGCAAGAGACATAAACTTTTTAGCTTCAAGTTGGAGAGTGAATTGTTACACTAGTGGTTTTGCAGTATTGACTTAATTATCGATTGATAGTTGGGTTGTGATCCTAAATATACATGACTTATATTAGACTGAGATTTTTTAAGAGCTACTCAAACAAGTTCATTCTAATGCCAACGAGGAAGAGTTTCAATGTGGCCGAGTCAAATATAGTTAGCTTTAGGTTCCATTTAGAGAGTTTCCTATAGATGCAACAGATATGATTGTTAGTCCATATGCATTAGTTTTACAACGAGGCTTGATGTTCCCCGATCGTTCGAGATCTTACATGCACCTTATGTATGCTCTATTAGTTGAGGATTGGACCCGCGTTGGAGAATACACTTTGGAGCCGCTTTTTTAGCATTCTTATACAGAGAGATGGGTACATCAACATTGCAGATGAAGTCATCGGATACTCTAGGAGGCAACCTTGATGGGTTGGTTTCCCTTATCTAGTTATGGACTTGGGAGAAATTTCCATCAATAGCACCTCTCGATAACAACACTTGGATGGTCTTTGATGTAGATGTGCATCCATGTACAACGAGATGGTTGCCACAGTTCCATCGATCAAACACGAACTGCATTCATTGGTATAGCGTGTTCTTCGATGAGGTGGACTCCACTTTAGTGAGTACTTAGTGTGACATTATCAATAAATCTATGTACTAAGTTAGTAACTTGGAAGTTTATATCATTTTATGTTTATAATTTTCATAAAAGAATACTATTTATGTATGTAATGGTTTTCATATCTGACATAGGGAGTAAGTCGTAGCAAATACTATACTACCATCATCAACTCTTCATTTGTTCGTACCATTGATTTGCTTTGGGGCAGTGACATGGCACCACCTCAATCGTGTACTTCGTCCATTTGATATGGAGGAAAAAACATACCACATGCTCCGAAGATTGCAACAGAGATTCAGTGGTTGCTTCGTCGGGAGCAACGCGGCACACATAATGCACGATGTTTTGCACCGTCTATAAAGAGCCAATCGAGTTTTGGGATTAACGAGCTACAAATGTATAGAATATGAGAGAACGGGAAATTAATCAAACGGAGATTAATGAGAGAACGGGAAACTCCTGGCGCTCGCCCCTACCACGGCGAGCGAAACGGCCACCACCTAACCGTTAACTACTTGGCTTTCCATTACAACCTGCTTCCCACGTCTCTGCAGCACTCGCTCTATATATTCATCCCAATACCCTTCCATCGTCTTCTCCGTCGCTCTCTACTCATTTCACGCTCTTTCTTCCCCTAATTCTAATCTTCTCTCCCTCTCGACAATGGCGGCTGCTTCTGCTTCATCATTCACCTCCCTCAAGTCTCGCCCAGCTCCGGTAAGCGGAGATATCCCTGTCCAAAGTTTGATCTCTGAAATTCGCGTTTGAGAAAGCATCACATTTGACCGGATGTGAGTTTCCCCAGGGCTTGGCGACGATCGCCGCCGTGAAATCCGGAGCTCCTCTGTCATTCAGCTTCCGCCGCCCTGTTCCGGCCGTGTCTCGCCTCCGGATCTCCTGCGCCGTGAGTCCTCTCTTTCTCTCGTTTTTTTCTTTTTATTTTTCTCTTCGATAGAATTTGTTCAAGCATTGAGAATGGGCTGTAGATGTGCTTGTGGGAGTTAACGTAATTGCTGATAATGGCCGACTCTGTTTTGAGCAGGCGAAGCCAGAGACGGTGGAGAAGGTTGCCAAGATCGTTAAGAAGCAGCTGGCACTGCCCGCCGAGACTCCGGTGACCGGCGACTCCAAATTCGCTGCACTTGGTGCCGATTCTCTCGACACAGTAAGCATAGATTTTTCTTTTCTGGTTTCCTCTCCTGTGGTTATGTAAATGATTATTTTATGCTTTTCTCCCCCATTTTGGGTTCCATGCGATGATCCCATTTGGTTATTGCCTTTCAATTAGGTTGAAATTGTAATGGGTCTCGAAGAGGAATTCCACATCAGCGTCGAAGAGGACAGCGCACAGTCGATAGCGACAGTTCAGGACGCGGCTGATCTCATCGAGGAACTGGTTCAGAAGAAGTGAGGTTAAAAAGCTGAAGAAAACTTCCAAGCAATGAATGATCGCCCTATTTCTCTCTAGTGCAGCTTCATGCTTGTTATTATCTCTATAAATTAGAAGAAATGTGCTCTTTGAAAACAAAAAACCCTCTTAAGTGTTATACACAGTGCTCTAGTGTGTGAAACTTTCATGGAAATGCGTTTGTTTGTTAACTGTCATATCCAAAGATTTTTACAAGCTCATCCTTGCACAAAGTATCCAAAGTTGGGAGCTTTTTTTTATGCACAGAAGCTAGACAGAGCCTAATGGGGAAAGAAGCTACACTTTATACGTGAAAGCATAAACGAAATGAAATGTGCTTTCAGGTTATATGGGACATTCTGGTTCTGGATCTTCTTTCTTACCATACTTGGTTAAAACGGAAGTTAATTATGTGCAGCATGAGTGCCAGACTTTTGACTTTGATCAGAAGCTCTTCATCACATATCCTTTACTCCCAATCAGCATCAAAGAAGCCGGCATCTTTCATCTCTGAGTAGTACACATTCTCCAGATGCAAATCTTCCTCCTGCAACAAGCCATGCAAAATATTGAACAAATACCGATTAGTAACCCGTGCAAGCTGTTATATCTAGAAGCAGAATGGACACAAGGGAAATGAAGGCCAGAGGAGAAACCTGGAAAAAGTCTGCCAGAAAGGTTATATATATCAGAGGGAGGTAGAAGGCATGGTAGGAGACTATGGTGGCGCTATACAGCCTGCACATGCATTGTAAGAAAGGAAAAACGGGAGATCAAATGACAGTAAACAAAGTCAGTTTAGATATTCGAACATCCATCACAAAGTAATTACCAATAACCGAAACCAGATCCACTTCCAGTAATCCCACAGGCGAAGAGTGCAAGAGCGTTCAAGCCAAACATGGTCACGATGTACTTGTAGAATGCGGGTCTTGCTGTAAGATAGGCATTTTCGGTTGTAAGTTAATGATAATAAACAACGAGCAACATTCACGCTTCCAATCTGCTTATCCATGATGCATAACACAACTTACCAGGCAACCTTTCCCTCCACTTGGAATGATACATGAAAAGGATGAATCCATAAACTGCAGTAAGAACTAATCGATGGACAACCCACAGGCCCCACTTCATACGATTAGAGTCCTCGCCAATGTCGATAAACAAGGGAATCCCAAACCCAAACAAGTATAGTGCCTGAAAGAAACAATCTTCTTGTTGATGAGCAGGGTAAAAAGGAGTTTGAATCTCGATTGAACCAAAACAAAATACCTACCTTGAGAAGTATGTCTAGCCCAACTACAATTGCCGAGACAGCGAAGGTCTTTGTCATTGCGTCTAGCCCACTCACGTAATTGCCTTCGAGTAAAAAGGCGAGCAAGCTAACTTCCAAAAACAGCATTCCAGATGTTGTGAACAGAGATAGCACATTCCATGTTTGTTCCTTTCCAGGAGTGCATTCCATTGCCTGTGTCAGCGAGAGAGAAAAAACTGAGCAAGAAAAAGTTCCAAAGTTGAGTCCTGCTTCTAGATAAGGATGGTAACTTTCACAGCCTCTCTCAAACCACCTACGTTTTTACTTCCTTTAACTACGTTATCCAAGAGGGGACACTATCACTCTGTTCATTTCTTAATACAAGATCTTTTTCATGAAGTTTATCATTCGCTTAAAAAAATGTAAGCTAACCAGCCAGATTAATTCACCGTCATCAAGGAAAGCACAGAGACATAATCTTCAGTAACCATAAAATTGACGCGAACAGAGTGATGAGACAATGGATCGTAAGCCCATCGCATGCATTCCTTGCACAAAAGAAGGCCACCAACGTGGCTGGACAGAAAAGACTCCAAGCCCAAGGATTGCCATTGCTTTTCCAGTAGGTTATTAGGATGGAATTGCATTGTTTGTTTAGATAAGCTATAATAATTAGAAGGCAAGATAAGATCACCTTAAGTGATTCGTCTGCCAAATCGGTTAGAAAGGAAGGATTGCATCAAACGATCTTTTCAGTAATTACTAAGAGATACGGGAAACCAATTGATGTTATCCCGATCTTAGGATTTAGGGTTTTCCCTCTATATAAGAGGTTCTAATAATAAGAAAGGTAGATACTTAAATTGAGAAAAGAAAGGAATTGAGTTCTTGGCTTGTTCGAGCCTAACATGAACACCTATCATCACAGAGACATAATGTTCGCTTATAAACTGTGGCAGAGAACAAAGAAGAATAAGCTCATTCTAAGTTCAGCGCAGCTATCATTTTTCCCATTTCGTTGACAGTTTGAGATCCAGCTACACCAAGTTATCACCTAAAACCACTGTACTCAAAGTAAGCTCAAACCTGCAATCTACAAGCTTCCTAATCCTAGCGAACCAACACCAAAGAAGGAAAATTTCGAACTTTATTAGACAATGGACGCAGACAAACCTGTAAGAGAGACCAACAGAGGTTGAGCAAGCTGACGAGCCAGAGACTGCCGTAGTAAGCAACCATTATGTGCGATCTCCCATTCAAGAGCTTGGCGAAGCTCTTCCTGGCCTGGAATGCGAGGTAGAGCACGAAACCGAGGGAAGCTAGAATCAGAGTGACGTTGTGCAATAATCCGTGGCACTCGAACAGCCAATTGAACAATCCTGGTGAGCCGTTCTTGAAGGCCCCGCCATGGGTGAGAGTTGAATTAGGGTTTTGGGGAAGAACCGAGATTGATAATTGAGAACCAGCGACAGGAACTTCTTCCCCGAGATAGCGCATCTTTTTACACGGCTGGCCGGGAAAGAAACCCTATCAATTTGATTTTGGTAGCTGGGAAGGTTGTGATGGGAATGATTTGGATTCTGATTGACCGCGCAAGGAAGCAGGAAGAACACGACGAGCTTCTGGTTGGAAGTTGTCCCAAGGAGGACGAAGAAGAAGAAAATAATAATGTAACTAATGGGAAAATAAAAAGAACAAACAGATGGCCGATACTAAGACAGAAGACCGATACTAAGACAGAAGATCAACAGATGGGGTCCGGTCCGAAAATAATACTCATTAGCAAATGATCTAATTTAAGAAACGGGTAAATTGCAAGATTGTTAATCCACGTTTGGTGACTAAATTTTTTTTATTTTATTCATGATCACTAAAAATAGCTATTTTATTAAACTTTGGTCACTTTCCGTTAGTCTCTGTTAAGTTTCGCTGATATGTCAGTCAATTCTGATAGTTGACCGTTAAATTAGTGACATGACAATTACAAATTAAAAACTTTACAATTTCCACCTCATTTTTATAACTATTAAGAAATAAATGAATAACTTAATCTACCATCTCCACCCTCTTCTTCTACCTCTTCCTCACTACCAGAAGTAATCTCGCTTTGCACAAAGTCACTGAAAGAGTTGGGTTTCTTTCTTGTCCTGGGGGCAGTCTGAGAGCTGCTCTGAGGACCAAATCTATAGTTCACCATCTCTAGTTTAGATCTGCTCGGTCTCTGCTTCTTGGACTTCGCTTCCCTAGCCAGTGTTTCAATTTGATGCTCTATCTCATCTTCTGATTTGTTGGTTGACAGATCGAGTAGGCGGCAGAACTCGATGCTTCTTCAACCAGGCGGATGAGGTCTTGTTTAGCTTGCCAAGCTCAAATGTAGTCTCTCCAAATTTGCTCGTACACAACAAAAGCATGGGGATTTTCTTCAGTTGCTGGGTTTGAATAAGGGGTTGAGAGGTTTTGGCTTAGGGAAATTGGAAGGGTGGTTTGGGGCAGGTCAGGGTGGGAATGGTTAGCTGGTACAAATGAGGTAGGCAGGGAGGAAATGTGGACGAGGGCATTAGCTAAAGTGGTGGAGCTAGGGATTTGGTGTGGAGGATTGGGAGCAAGGGAGGGAAGAACAATTGGATTTAGAGCAGGGGGTTGGGCAAGCTAATCGATGAGTACCTAGACCACCTTCGCCCTCTCCTTTGGCCTCGCCTTCTTTTTCTCTCACGACAATAAGATCCTCGGCAGTCCCGGCATGTACCTTGATCTGGTCAACGCCTCCCCGTCGAGTTCGACACCCAGATTTACCCCCACTTCGGTAAACTCAATCTCCACTTGTTTCTCCTGGCACGGGGGCGGCGAAAGTCAGGAAGAGGAGGCGGAGGTGGTGGAGAAAGGAATTTATTTATTTTTTATAGTTATACAAATGAGGTGGAAATTGTAAAGTTTTATATATTTTATTTTTAATTGCCACATCACTCGTTTAATGGTCAACTATCAGAGTTGACTGCCACATCAGCGAAATTTAAGGGAGACTAACGGAGCGTGGCCAAATTTGAACATAAGAACTACTTTTAGTGACCATGAATAGAATAAAATACTTTTAGTGCCAAACATGGTTGTCACGCCGGCCGGCGTGCCACCGGTTGTATCAGGTTCAACCGGTACCGGTCATAAAACCGGCGTGACACCACCGGTATGACCGGCATGATCGATATACGAATCTCTAAGTAAAATGACCTTATTTTAGTGAATTTAATAGATAAAAATTATTTTATTATTTATTTTATTAGTATAAAAGTTAAATATTGATGTTATTTGTTGGATTCAAGTATAAATGTTTAGGTATTGACGTTAAATGTCATGTTTAAATATGAGTATTTACAATTTTATTTGTAATATTAACCGGCATGAACCGGCACAAATCGGTATGTGCCACCGGTTGAACCATTCCACTTACTAAACCGGCACACTGGCATAAACTGGTTTGACAACCTTGGTGGCAAACATGAATTTTTTACTACTTTCAGTGACCAACCTTGCAATTTACCCTTTAATAAACAGATGCCTTTGCGATGTTAAATTGATGGATTGTGCCGGTCCGAAAATAATACTCATTAGCAAATGATCTAATTTAATAAACAGATGGCTTTGCGGAATGTTAAATTGATGGATTGTGATTTGTGAATGATGTATTATATATTGTGGTTAGATGGTTGTTTTTTTTTTTATAGTTACGGTATGTTTATGGTGACTTGCAAGTTATCACAGTTTGAGAAAATTTGCTAATTTTTTTATAAAATGGTCGATCACTTTCAAAAAAATGGTATATCACTTTCATCAAGTGGTCCACCTCTTTAGGCAAGCGGTCTACCACTTTCGACAAACAGTCAGTTTGATGTCACATTTACTTTCAACTCGCACCTGCTTGTTAGAAGCGGTAGATTGCTTCGGCCAAACGGTCTACCAATTTCGACGAAAGGTCTAACGTTTCTAGAGAACCATCTATCGCTTCCGACGAACGGCCGACAAGATGACATAGTTACCTTCTACTTACATTGGGAAAATAATGGACAATAGGAGGTCTACAATACAAAATTATTTTATAGTAATGCAACATCCTATCGCACGTGGGCAACCCAACCTCTATGCATATTATAGGCCAAGACAAAAAAGGAATAACACCCTCTTTTAACACTTCTGGAATGAAAACTCATAAAAGCAAGATGATATGAGATTTATTGACGTTAAAGATGACACAATTGTATAACCATTATACTCTACTTTTAAATATCTTCGTAACAATTATAACACAAAGTTATTCTGTCACAAGACATTTATATGATAAAAACAAGCAAACTTATAATTGAAAAGAAAGATGAAAGTCTCTTTAGAGTAAGTCAAATCTAAGAAATAAATATGCACAACATTTCCGAAATCTATGAAAGAACAATCATCCGAGAAACTTCTCATTTATACTCCAGCTGTTGTGTTAATTTTAACTATCTTACCAGTAAACATATCTATTAATCTTGGACTCCTATTTTTTTATAATGATATCATTATCAATGGTTTATCAAGTCGGTCGGTTGATGAAAAAGGTAGACCACTTGATGGAGGAGGTAGACCGCTTGGTGGAAGTGGTATACTGGTTCTTGGAAAATGGGGTCGCTTAGTGGAAGAGGTAGATTGTTTTTTCCAAGTCCATTATAGCTATTGAAGTATTTAAATAAGTTATATTAGTTTAGGTAAAATATTAATTTACTCTAAAAAATATCATTTTACTCTTTTATTTTATTTTTTTGAAAATTTTTACAATGCTTTAAAAACATGAGATTTTTTTCTTCTTTATAGTACAAACTGAACTTGTACATTTAACATTATGGTATTAGGTACAAGTGAACCTATAACTTTTTGTACAAGTTTTTGTATGGTACAAACTAAATTTGTATCTAGCTGTTGAGATTAATACTCTCCCTTTTCATCCCATCTGCAAAAGAATTGGTCTCACTCATTTGATGTTTGCGAATGATCTATTGTCATTTTCTAATGGTTCAAATTTTGGTATTCAAAGAATCGAAGATTTAAAGTTGACAGTCTAGAACTCTGAGTTATGGTGGCAAGTTGCAGCTGCAAATATAGTTGTCGTCAACACCTCCGCATATCCCCGCCACCAAAAAGGAACGCAAAAGCCATACAAGTGTGTTCCAAGGAGAAGGAGAATGGAGGAGGCAACATAGCTGCGAGCAATCAGAGTCGAGGGGGTGGAACTTCAAAGAGAAAGGGAATTAGGGCGGTGCGACGAATGATGAGTATTCTGAGGAGAGGATAGGTTGATTCATCGACGACCTCACACTCAACATTGTTGGGGAGGTTAGAGTTGGGGCGAAGAGCGAGGCAACGAAGGGGGCAGAGGAAATAGACGAAGAGGTAGAGAAAACGTCTATGCATATGCTTCGTATAGCCTAAGAGCTTCAAATTTAGCTCACCCATACAAAATGAACAAATATGACACTAGCAACTCTCAACAAAGTATTTGGGAGAAAGGTCCAAAGAACAGGGGAAGGAGAATGCTGAGTAGATGAAAATTAGAGTTCCCAAAAGGAGACAAAGGGGAAAGAAATTAGGTTGAATTGTTTTTGTTTTACAGGTTGAATCGTTTCTTAGAAGAGTTGGTATATGTTGGAGGAGTCGAGCGCGAGATTTTCTCTCCTTTTCAGAGACGTCGACGAACCCTAATATGAATTGAGAATTTACACAACGATTTTTGTTACTTTGACCAACAAGATAGCTATTGAAACTGAAAACTTATGTTTAGAGATTGTGAACGAAAACAAAATAAGACTGAGCAAACGTTGGACTTCAAGCCCAAAGTTCATGTATTATGTTTGATTCTATTGGGCTCAATGAAGTCCTTTCTGTTCAGCAGTCTAATTCGATTTAATCGGGCAAACTCTTCTCCCTCCTCTGCTTCAACTCCTTGTCTCGGTCCAACCTGGAAAAAACAGAGACTTCAACCAGAAATAGAGACTTGCTAAAGTCTTGGTTAGAAGAACTGTAAATTAAATTTGACACAGAGATTTTTTACATGGTTTTCGATACTGATGAATCATTATCGACTAGTCCACGACCAAAGGAATTCTGCTTGAACCCTTTGGCGTTTCACTATGATGATATGTATCCGATTTACACAATACAACTGATTGATCTCTAGGTGACTCCCCGTCACTGATCAGAATCCCCTTCAGAGTTAAACTCCCTACAAAACTCTGACTTGATATCACAACCTTTATCTCTCAAGATATCTCTTTGACAACTCTCGAGCTACCCACAACCCCATCTTTTATAATTTGCTTCTGTCGACCGTTGCTTACTGATTAGGGAATCAATTTGTTTGCTTGATTGTCGTAATTGATCACCATTTCAGGACTTTCCTCTTTGGTTCTTCAAGGTGCCATTGCTTATCTTCTTTCCAAAATTTCTCAGTGCCATTTATCAAGCCTCACCCAACAAAATCCCCTTAAGCTTGTCACTAGATCTTTCTGCAACCTGCACACATTTAACACGCGATTGGTGCAACCTATTCTAATAAAGAAACCGAGAAATTAACACATTTCTTATACTTGGTGACATCAGGGAGAATCCTTTTATTCATTAATTAAACATGGTTGAAATAGAAACATCAAAGACTTACCACAAACTATATTGTTCCAATGCTTATTCAAATACTACTAAGTCTCTCTCCCCCTACGTCTACTACCTATGGCTCCTAAAAAGGATATTCTGGTGGAGACTCATACTCAGAAATACCATCTTCTTCACCAGATTCTGAATCAGAGCTCATTGGATCATTGACTACTCCTAATTCATACACAAAATTAGGCCACATCATATCTTTTAGCCTAAGCGTTTTCAGAGTGGCAGTCTGCTTCCTTGCACTGGAAGATTCCTGCTTGATTACCGCCACAGTTGCATCAACGAGTCTTCCAGAAGCTTCTGAATCAGGACTGACCATGACTCCCCCTGAGCCACTGACAAGCTTATGGGGGCCAACCTCGGAATCTAACTTGGGGAGAACATGTTGTGGATGTAGATCGTCTAAAACATTGCACATGTTGACCTTATCGCGTAGATCGATACCCAAACGATAAAGCAGTTTGTTGATCTATGGGCCAAAAGGCAGAGGTCCTCTAAAGTACTCATCCCCAAAGTGAATCATGTGGTGAAACATGAGCGATGCATAACTGATGGGTCGACCAGCCTTAGCGTTGGAAATAATCCAAAGATCGGAAGAATTTAAGAGATCGCTGCTAGAAAGGTCGTGAGGCAGATAACATCTAGTGATAAAGAAGTGGAGAAATTTCAAATCATCAGGTAAGCGCCCAACCGAGAAGGGGGGAAAGGTAGTGACAACCTATATCACATGTACATGTCGCTAGAGCAGCATCAAAGTCGAATCCCATATCAGCGAATTCACCATCAGTGCCAGCATGAAGTCCCGGATGAGGAAGATCGAGGATATTGGCCAGATGTGTATGATTAAATGTGATCTCGTAGTTAAACACGACAGTCGTGAAAAATGAAGGATCACAGCCAGGACCGCGTTTGAGATTGACATAGAACATGTGCACTGCCTCGGGATAGTAGCTGAATCGCATGTTGTCAATCAATAAACTCCAGCCAATGCCATCAAGAAGAGTAGGAATGTTCATATCATATTTAGTGAAACTGTAAGGTTGAATGGAAAAAGAAGGATAGATGGGATGATTCATGAACCTTCGAAGATATCAGGAATAGAAAGGTGCATTGCGAAAGCCTTGATTGTTGAAAACAACAGAGGGATGTAGTTGAGCATTGTTGAAGGCCATTTTGATATACGGGTAGAAGATGAGGGGTAACTAATGAAGGTGGAAGAAGAGAGAACCCTAGGGACTCCTCGATATGTAAGAAAACTTTAACCTAGAATGAATTCGAGTAGACACGATAAGGACGATTTTGATATGACTTTTGATTATTTATCACAAGCAAGAATCCTTGAGAATGGCAAGTTTATATCCTCAGAATCAGGACTCATAGAGATTCAATCTCATTGAGGAAGAATAAGCCAAGTTCATGGCGAATAGGTAGGAATTTTTCTCTCCCAAGGGGTTTAGTGAAGATATCAGCCCACTGCATATATGTACTAATGAACTCTAGACATATCTTTCCTTCTTGAACCAATTCACGAATGAAGTGATATCTTACTTAAGTATGCTCCGTGCGAGAGTGTTGAATTGGGTACTTAGTCATTATTCTCGCACTAGTGTTATCACAAAGAATAAGGTGAGAATCTATATCTAGACCATAGTCCCGAAGTTGATATTTTAACAACAGGAGCTATGTACAGCTCAGTCCTGCAGTTATGTATCCTGCCTCTACAGTAGACAAGGCTACATAACTTTATTTTTTACTAGCCCACGAGATTAAGGAAGTTCCCAAAAACTGGCAGATGTCGGATGTACTTTTTCTATCAAGAACACAGCTAGCATAATCAGAATCACTGCAACTAATGAGTTCTAAGCTAGACTCACACGAATACTACATTCCTAAATGAGAAGTACAATAAGATATCGAATTTTTTTTTACTATTGTTACATGACTCATTTTAAGACAACTTTGAAATCCCGCACAAACACACTATATATTATATCAGATCGACTTGCTGTTAAATACAGTAATGACCCGATCATTCCACGATACATTCTGTCATCAATCGCAATTCCAGATTCATCCTTTGTTAATTTTAATGTGGAACCCATAGGGGTTAAGGCTGTTTTGAGATTTTTAAGATCAAATCTTTCAAGCATGTTTAGAAGATATTTTGATTGACTTATGAAAGTTTCTTTATTAGTTTGTTTAACTTGTAGTCCAAGAAAATAATTAAGTCCCCCCCATGAGACTCATTTCAAAAGCTCCTTTCATGGTTGCTTTAAACTCTTTGCATAAGCTTTGACTGGTTGATCCGAAAATTATATCATCAACATACACTTGAACCAGTAAAGTATGATTCTTTACAGTCTTAATAAACAGAGTTTTATCCACTAAGCCTTTGTGAAAACCATCTTTAATTAAAAAATTACTTAGCTTATCATACCAGGCGCTCTGAGCTTCTTTTAAATCGTACAAAGCTTTATTTAGTTTATATACATGATTTGGGAATTTATGATTTTCAAAACCAAGGATTTTGGAGAGTGGTCAAACTTGGGTTTTAGTTTGGGGTGGGTCAGGACATGGGTTAATTGGTCACGATGGTTAGGTTTTTATGATGTGACATGCTTTTTATGACGTGACAGGGTCAGATTTTTGTGTGTGGTTTGAATAGGTGACTAGGCGAGTTTGTTAGTCACATCAGCAAATGACTGACGGTGATAACATGGACTGAAGGAAGGTAACGGAGAGTGACCAAACATGACATGTTTTGCTAAACTTAGAGACCACGAATGGAATTAAATACTTTTAGTGACCAAACATGAATATTTTTAGTGACCAAACATGACTACTACTATTATTAATAGTACGTTAATAGTCATAAGTATATAAAAAATAATTGTTTTATAAATAAATATATAAATAATAGTAAACTTAACAATTTCATTCATTTAATACGGATATTAAACGTGTTATACGATTTATATACGTGTATAGTATGAGAGCCATCAAATGAACGGAAAAAAATAAAACAGCTTGACAATCATACGGATACATAAGTTTTAATGGGATAAAATACATACGAGTACATAGACGTGTATTAAACGGAGTATTTACTAAATATGATGGACCAACTAGGGGTGGAAATTGGGACGGGTGTGGTTACCCACCCCACATATTGCGGGTACCACACACACAAATTTTCAATTATGCTACCCACAATCCGCACCACAGTGGTTAGTGGGTAACCACTACCCACTGCGGGTTGGGTGTGGTTACCCGCAAAAATTCATCTTTGTTAAGTATGGAGTTGAGGCCGCCACCAACGTATTTTTTATTCGTAACAAGACTATAGTGATATACGATTGTGTCATTCGTGGAGATATAATTTTCTATATCGATCTTACTCAGGGTGGCGATTTTTTTTTTTCGAGTTTGTTATTCAACTTTTGTGTGAGGAAATTGTGATTTCAGGTATGATCTTGTATTTTCGTTTACAAAAGCAAAAACATATAGATAAAAGTTATTAAAGGTACCAACTTTTCATGAGTTGATTATTTTCCACTCTCTTGGTTATAGTGTTTTATAAACTAAAAAATTCTCACTTAAAACTGTTTAGATGCGTATTTAATTATGTGGTTACTTTAGTTTTTTGTCTCCCACTTATCACATACTATTATATTATAAAATATTATTAGTAAATAAATATAATCAGTGCGTTATTGTGGATTTTGTGGGTTTTGTGGGTTAACTGCGGTGGATAGTGAGTAACCACTAACAAGAAAAATTATTATTTTACTACCCACACCCAACCCACTACGTGCAACTTGTGGGTATGATTAACCACAATGGGTGCGAGTTGGTGCAGTTTATGGGTGATCCACAGCCAGCAACCCAAACTCCAACCCCTAGGAGTCTAGGACCAACCTTGCAATTTCCCAAAAAAGAAAGTGCATGTAAAGGAAAAATTACTGTTATGGGCCAGTGGCCCAGCCCATTTCTTCGATCCTGGGTTCGGTTTTCTCAGACGCGGGCTCGTGCCTAGACCCTGGCGCAGTCAGCAGTACAGAACCGAGAACGAGAAAACCCCGAAAACCCGCCAAAGCAGCAGCTTCGTCTTTCTTCTCTTGCCACCCGCATTTCATATTTGCCTCTCTTCTCCCCAACTCGACGAAAATGGAAACCCGACCGTTGCGAACCTCTCTTCTCTTCTCTCCTCGCTTCCCTTCTCAATCGGATCCCCACAATTTCCCTTCCCTCCCGAGAATTTATCAATTCATTTCCCCCATTCCATCGCTCCCCAAAATTTCCCGAAAAACGGCAAATCCGAAAAAAAGAAAAAAGGAAAAAACAGACAAAATGCCGATGACGGGAAGTTCGCCTGAATCCAATTCGTCTCTCCTCCTCCGCCGGCCAAGAGCTCCGAAATCGCTGTAGGAGTTTCTCTCAATTTTTTTCCCCTCTATTTTACGAATCGAATCGATTTCTCCGGTTATGGACAGTCGGTACGGGAGGCAGAGGAACAGCAGCTCGGTGACGTCGCCCCTGGCGTCACCGATCCACCCGCGGCACGTTCGGACCGGATCGGCCGGGGTCAAGAAAGCGCAAACCAAGGCCGCGGCGCAGAGGCTCGCTCAGGTGATGTCGCACCAGCGGCCGGACGATGACAACGAAGAGGATGACGACGAGCCGATCTTCGCCGGGGGAGGTCTCGGCAGCATCGGACTCGCTGGAGGGAGGAAAGTCCAGCCGCGGTCTCCCATGGTAAGAGAAAATGTTGCTCAAGAGTGATTACTGTAAATAAGACCGATCTCTTAGATTTCTAACTCAACGCCTTCAATATGCCGAAATTGCAGACGAGGCCTGTGGTTCAGAGCCGCGTGCCGGCGAGGGCGGCTGCCGTGGCGGCGTCTGAGGAGGGTAGTGATAACGAAGATGATCACGCTCCGATTTCTGGCTCGGTATCCATTGGCCGCGCTGTTGGAAGGTCAATGCGATCGCAATCTCCAATGGTGACTGGCCATTACGGACTTAAATACGCTTTTGTGTTCGATATGCAATTGTTTGATTTTGAGCTTCAATTTTTTGGAAATAGATTAGTAGTTTCTGTTGCTCTGCATTGATTCACACAATTTGATGCCCTATTGTCCAGCAGCCCTGAAATTAAGTTTGTGCCCTCGCTATATTTGCAGCGGAAACCTGCAGCTCAGAGTCGTGTCCCGGTGAAGCCGCCCCAGCCAGTTGATGAGGACAGTGATAAGGAAGATAGTTCTGCACCCGTAATTGGTCGGGTCTCAATTGGCCATGCAGGTGCGAGATCAGTGCGACCTCAATCTCCCATGGTGATTGATCTGTTACCTATTGTGAGCTTGTAACTCTTTGTAAAATATTCACGTATGAAGGAACAGTTGATTGGTCTGATTAAGTTGTTTTTGTAAGTTCAGATGAAAGCAGCAGGTCAAATTCGTATGCCGGTGAAGACATTCCAACCACAAAGTGATAGGGATAGTGATAAGGATGATGATCAGAGCCCCGTCAGTGAGAAAATATCCATTGGTCACGGTGGTGGGAGGTCGATGCAAGCACGCCCTTCCATGGTGATTGATATTTTTGGTCATTTAAGTGCTTCTCAATTCATGTCTGGTAACTTGCTGTTGTTGTAGATGATAATATGATCTCAATTCAAGTCCAACAATTGGTTTGAACATCAGATGATGGTTCTTCTCTGCTGTGGTATCACAGTTACTCATGTCTTGTTGCTTGCATATAAACTTCTATAAGTGCCTCAGTATCTTAAGATGCTGGATCGACCATTGCTGTTGTATGTGTTCTGATATTTGCTTGGATGCAAATGCAGGGCAGGCCTGTTGCTCAAAATCGTGCACCCTTGAAGACAGCTGCACCAGTTGATGACGACAGCGATAAGGATGAGAGTTATAGTCCTGTAAGCGGTAGGGTGTCAATTGGACAAGCTGGTGGAAGATCAATGCGAGGCCAATCTCCAATGGTGAGTTATCCATCTTTTATGCTAGTTAATGATGTCGATGAAGCACAGATGAAGTGGAAGAGTATAGTTCGAGTGCATGCTGCTTAGTACCCACCTTCTTTCTTTCTGTAGCAAGCATTTTCTACATTGCTGGACGATGGTAGAAAGTGTTCATGTGCTACTTCCCTATGTAGTTTTCTTGTTTGATGCTCGTTATCATTTTCAATGTAACCATCATTCCTCGGACTTTTCTAGGCAGTTCGTACCAGGCAAGACCAATTGAACTCTATCAAAATAGGTCGGCCTTCTGTGTCTTCCGCCTCTGGGGAATACCCATCAACATCACTTCACTCAGCTACATCTGCTCCAGCAACTCAGATCAACAATGCCGTTGAACAGCAGCCTCTATCTGCTCGTTCCCCGTTGGCCGCCCGATCATCCATAAATTCCACCGAACAACCTCCATCAGCTCGTTCTACATCTGGCCGCGCAGGTCCTCCAGGTATTCGGAAGATGCCTTCTAGTGTGCCTATCTCACTTAGGCCGGTCTCTTCTATGGTGTCACCTGATCCTACATCAGATAATTGGAAAGAACAAAGGTATTTCTGGGAGATAAACTAAGGTCTCTCATTCTATAGCTACCCAGTTGCTTTTTCCCATCAGTTTCTTAGTTATTGCTGCTTCCTAGTTATGCACAAAAGCTCTAACATTAACACAAGCAAGGAAATAACGCATTGATAGCCATCTTGAGATCTATGCAACTGCAAATTCTAAGCATTAAAATAAGTTTATGTTTAAGAGTACTACGGTCAGAAGTATGCTGCATGCAGCCTTCGCGTATTCCGTGGCATAAACTTTCCACATCCACTTGAGCAAGACATCGTTAATATTTGTCTTGCCTTGTAGATTGGGGATGGATGGGGGAAGTGCAAAATTGAGTGAAACAAACAGTAATCGGCCTGCATCTGCATTACAGGACGAGGTAAGGTCATTTGAATATATGGCATAACAGTCCACGGTTTGCTTCAAGAATGTCTATTCGCCTCTGATCAAATATGTGGCTTATTGGATATTGATCTATTGTTTTTTACAGATCGACATGCTACAGGAGGAAAATGAGAGTTTGCTTGACAAGGTGAACTGAACCGATCTTAAGGCTTGGTTTTGTTCCTTCATCTGATAGAAACTAAAAATTGAGCATTTTATGTCTGGTACTATTACTTTGTTACTAACTTTTCATACTCTTCTTTTGGGTTCGCCCCATTGATGTGTGGCAATTCAGCTTCGACTTGCAGAAGAGAGGCAGGAGGAAGCAGAAGCTAGAGTTCGTCAACTTGAGCAACAGGTTCTTTTCTCTCTGTTTGATTGGTGCTCCTTACGTTGCATTTTATACATTCCGATGGGAACATGGAACCTTACTTTATTATCTTGTGATGAATATATTCTTCAGGTTGCTAATCTTGGAGAAGGTGTAAGCTTAGAAGCTCGCCTCATAAACAGGCTAGTTTCAGTATCCTTATGCACACCTATCACATTCCATTTATTCAGTTCTGCTCATCTTTTATTTGTCTTCATCTTTCAGAAAGGAGGCAGCTCTGCAGCAAAGAGAGGTTTGTATATTGGACAATCTCTCTATCGTGATAGCTCCCGGAGTTCAGTTATGAATAATTTTCTGTTGCTTTATTGCTTTTAGCAGGCTGCTCTGAGAATGGCAGAAGTAACAAATAAAGCCGAAGAAATTAACACCCTTAGGATGGAAGCTGAGGTATCAGGGAAATTAATCTTGTATGTTTGTTCTTTTTTATTCTTCATCTGTTGTTTTTACTGCGTCGAGTAAAAGCTGTGGGGTGTGCTCTCCTTAGTTCTCACTGGTTGACATATATCATAATTTCAGAGTGCTAAGGAGGAGGCAGCAGCCGCATTTGAGCAGCTTCAAGAAGCTGCACTCGAGACCAAGTCGCTTCGCAATATGACTCAAAGAATGGTGCTGACTCAAGAGGAGATGGTTTGCCTTTCATCCTATCATCTCTTTTGCCCCTCCCCTTCCGCTACCTGTTCATGGTCGGTCCCGTTATGTCAAGATAGTAATGTGATTTGCAGTTTTTTCTTAGGAAGAGGTTGTTCTGAAGAGGTGTTGGCTTGCTCGGTATTGGAGCTTATGTGTCAACCATGGTGAAGCTTCCCAAAGTTCCTCATTACATTTTCTTTGTGAACCAAAGTTACTGAACCGAGATCACATTTTTGTCTCTGTGGTTTAATCCATGCCAGCACTTTTGCAGGCATACATGCAGAGATTGCAGGAGCAAGATATGGGTACTGGTCATCATTTGCTCCTCTGCCTGTTGAAGTGGTATTAGCTGCAGGACAGAGAGCTCAAGCGGAGGACTCATTCAGTAAGTGCTGATTTCACTATTTTGATCGCTGAGTGAGAAGCATGAACTGCTTGGCAGGCCTTAGTTTACTTACTGACATGTAACTATTCCCAAAATGAGCAGTTGGTAACGACGCAGAAGAAAGGGTGAGAGTGCTGCAAGGCACCCGTGAACTCTCTGGTGAAGGGAACATTGAGAGCATGGTCTTAGTCGAGAGAGGTCTGCGAGAAATGGCTTCGTTAAAGGTTTACTTCTTAAAGCGTTCTACCTGCCATACTTTTATGATATAAACAGTGAAGATTAGGTGGTTGGCTGCATTACTACTATATAAGTCACATTTCTTGAAGTACACGCCATCATTCTACAGGTTACGCTGAAACTAGCAGTTCTAACATTTTGTTCCTTTTAAAGGTGGAGGACGCTTTAGCGCTTGCCCTGGCTCAACAACGACGTCCCAGTTCACTGAAAGCTGGTAAGAAAGCATCATTTCGTTTGCAGTTGCTAGTCTTGGTAACGTGTATTCAGTGGGCGGATAAGTGACTCGGTTTGCCTTGTCTCTTTATCTGTTTCCTTTCCATTCTTGCAATACAAATCCGGTGAAGATGAAGTGAAACTACCCAGTGAAGGACAGTACGAAGCATTTGGTAAGTTCATCTCAATCAAACATTGGAGTTCCTTCCCCCTTTTCCTCTACCGAATTTCACTGAAAATTACCGAATTTCAGTGGGCGGATAAGTGACTCGGTTTGCCTTGTCTCTTTATCTGTTTCCTTTCCATTCTTGCAATCAAACATTGGAGTTCCTTCCCCCTTTTCCTCTACCGAATTTCACTGAAAATTACCGAAACCTCTCTTCTGCGTTTGCAGAGTTGAGCCCAGAGGAGGCCGATGATGTGCTTTTCAAACAGGTGTGGCAAACTTCTGTTAACCTCAAACAATCAGGTTCTACTAACATGGCCTTTTCCCTTGTAAATTACGTTACCGTCTTTCGTTTTCGTGTGCAGGCTTGGCTAACATATTTCTGGAGAAGAGCCAAGGACCACGGGCTGGAGCAAGAATTAGCAGAAGAGCGTCTAGTTTTCTGGACCAACCACGGTGGTCGTTCCTACTCGTCGCAGGATGCAGTCGACGGTAAACCGCCCCCTCCTCTCTTCTCACTGCTATGTAGCGTTGAAGTTTGATGTGTTCGACTGTTTTTAACTCTGTCTTATATTTGTGGTGCAGTGGAGCGTGGGCTTCAGGAGCTGAGGAAATTAGGCCTTGAGAATCAGCTGTGGCACGAGTCTCGCAAGGGGCTCGATTTCGGGTCCAGCACCAGGGCACACATGGAGACCGACTTCTGAGATTTGAGAATCAGCTTACAAGTATCCAGTTTCAAATCTACAGTCGATCGATCGAGAGAGCTCACACAATGTCGATATTTATATGAGCGTGCTACAAGTTTTGCAGAATTTTACGTTGTCTGTATAGATTGTGGTCTGTTTCGTGTACTATTCTAGTTTGTGAGTCTTGTGGTGGACATGCGCCAAAAAAAGCCACAAATTGCCAACTCCAGGAAATTGCCAGTTGGGGCAGTTCGTTCTCTTACTATTATTAAATTTTTTTTGGGTAGAAAGTTCGTTCTCTTATTAGTGTTAGTAACGTTGCCCAGTAAACGGGGTCTGAGCAAAGAGGTCTTTGGGTTTTCATTTGTGGCGGCAGAAAAGTTACTTAGGGGATGGAACACTTGGTACTTGCCAGATGATAGTAAGGTGATTGTATAATAAGTAGTTTTTTTATCTGCGCTCCACCGCGCTAATAAATAAATAAATTATTTTAATAATAAAGTTTCATTACCTTATTTAATGATTTAGTTCAAATAAAATTATTTATAAAATTTTCAAGCATGACACTTTCATAAGCTAGTCGCTTAATTATTATGGAAGGTGTATGCAATACGTTTGATTGATACATAAAAAATAACAACCCTTTCAACCTTCATAAGTTTTACATGGTGCATTAAACTATTACAGAACAATGTTACGTAATCTTCCGTAGGGATATTAAAAATAAGTCACTCTCAAGTTTCTAGATGAATTAGTACTCAAACAATGTTTCTCTATTCAGCCGATATGTTTTGGGATTCTTCACTAACACTACTCAACTATCCTAAAATTAAATTACTAAGGAGAAAGCTTACTTGGGGATAGATTCCCCCTAGGTACTTATCAAACGATGAAGCAAGCAACCCTACCCTAGATGGAAAGGTAATTGAGACAAGCTTTAGCAAAGAACATAGAAGCGTATGATTCCTCTACTTAGCCACAACCCAAAACTCTCGATTAAAGCATTGGGACCACTTCCAACCAAACGAGAGAATTCACTGTTGTGCAACTCTAATCGCTTAATTGAAGCATTAACGACCTTTGAAACCCAATTCTATGTCACCCTAGCTCACCAAGTAGAAGAAGTCACGATTAATGGAATCCCTTCTACTCCCCTACACATGGAGTGTTCTAACAGGAGTCTACTAGACACTATCTCTCAAGACTAGGCACATACGATCCCTAACACATGACCAAGATTGGCAATCCAACATTAAACCCATGTGTAGGTAGCACAATCAAGATCCTAATGCATCCTAACTCAATCCCAATCAATGCAAACCTTCACTCTACTCCTATAGTGTGGGGAACCCATAATTGACCTTAAATCTCAGTTAAATCACGCAAGGCCCTCTTAATTGAGGTATTTTGGAGAGATGTCTCTACAACCTAAAAACCTAATCAAGGATTTAAGTTCTAGGTTCCCTCTAGAAGGCTCTCACCCACTACAAAAGACCTTATTTGACTCACTCTCATGCAATCAACAAGGTCCCTCTACTGCGCTTGTATGCTCAATTAATCTAGTTAGATTTATCTCTCCTAGGTTAATGCAATCAGTCAAGTTTATAACCTAAGCATGCACAACTTGACCTAGTTAGATTTTCTCTCTCCTAGATCAAAATTCAATTTCTCAAAATTAAACTAGAGAAAGCTAAGAACATCAATCAACATGAAGTAAATTAGAAAATAGAGTGATTGAAAGTCTAGGGAAACAAACTAACAATCATACATTACATTAAAGCCAGAGTTCTTCTACAACAAAGCAAAAAGAGAGTTTAAGTCATAAGGGAAAGGGAAATGACCAAGAAGAGAGAAATCATCTTCATGTCTTCAATCTTCTTCTCCTCTTTGTTGTCTTTGATCTTAAACTTCCAAGGGATTGGTTCTCTCACAATCTCCTCCAATGACTCTCAAAGACCTCCCTCCCCCTCAAGAAAAATCACAAAAGGGGTTTTTACTCGAGTAGTACAAAAGTCACTGGGGGTTAACTTTCGAAAACATTCACTTAGTTGCACAGTGTAAGAAACTCAATTCTAGGTGTCTTTGGATCGAGTTACAAATCTTGTCATCTTGAGCACCCACGAATACTCATAACAAGATAGGGTAAATAGAAAGGATTAAGTGATTGAGAATAAAATTAGCAATTTAAGAAGGAGAATTGGGCACTAGGAATTGACGAACAGAATTGGGAAAGAACATAAGAGAATGGTTGGCGCCTTTAGAGAGAAAGAGAGGGACGAGAATGATAGGAAAGAGAGTATGGTTTGGGAGATAATTTCTTCTTATTAATCTTTGCTTAATAGTAAATGAATACTCAAATACATATTTATTGATAATAGAAACCCACAAATAATGGATTTCTAGAAGTCCATCCCCCAAGAGACCAACTTTACTCTCAAGGTTGTAGTCAACATCCATTTTCTCGACCTTCTGCTTTCCTTGTTTCCAATCCCGCTCAAACTCAGGAATAAATTTTTCCTCGGGAACTCCCTTGGCCCCCGATGCTTCTCTAATGACGTGACACATGTCACCTTCTCCATAGCCATAGCCATACGATTCCACCACCTCCCTTTAAAAGTCCACAAGATAAGATATGTGAATTGCTCTTCCTTGTGCCCGCTACTATCATCATCTTTGAAGTCTCTATTGGGATGCTCTATCGCGCGAGAAGTGAGGACGAAAAGCAAAAATTCTTTTCGCTTACTCTTTGCTTCAATTCCTTGGAGGAGAGAGGCGTGGCCCAACCCAATGTTAACCCCCTATGTATTCCTCTTCTTTCCGATTTTGTTTTGGCATGGCTCCCTTGGGAGCCCACTTGCCAACCCAATAACCCCTCCAAGTCTACCTTTTTCAAAATACATCTCATGTTGGGTTCAATCCCTCCTTGCAGACGCAATCCAATTTCCCCAAGTTTCAACCCATAGACTGTCCCTGGCTCGGCCTACTACCTCTCAAACGTCGTGTCATATTTCCCTTGAACCTAACCAACTTTTTTCTTATTCAGCCCGGTCCCAAGTCCTGACTGAACCCACCTTCCTTATTAGCTTCAACCTGTTATGCTAGTTTTTCTTCAGCCCACAACGAAGCCCTCTATCAGTCCACTTTTTTCTCAGCTGCGGCACGAAGCCCACTTGACCACCACAACTCTTTTGCAGTTTCTCAGGTTGTGTGGCCCAACCGGCTCGACCCAACGGCAAAAGTTGCTGAAACTATTGTGTTTTATGGGTCCAAGGTGACGCCTGAGGGTTTGCGGAGGGCTCCATCGTCGCCACCCTTCTTCTTTTTCGATTCCTTCTCCAGTGGTGAGATTTTCAGGCGACTGGGATGTCGATTCGATCTGGCATTCCTAGTCACTATCCCCAACACGACGTCAGTCGTCGCTTTGTTAGAGGGAGAGAAGTTTTTGTCACCTTTCTTTTTCCTCTCATCCTCAGACGATATCTCCGCAACTCGACCTGCAACAACGAGCCATCTGCCAAGCGTTTAGGAGGCGATCTCACAGTGGTTATTTCCACCTTATGGTCCATCTTCCTGGTTGTCGTCATCACTCATCACTGCTCGAGTAGCTGGTGTGACTTGCGATGTTGTTGAATTTACCCGGAGATCTATCACCGCCTTGGCTTCACTTTGTCAGTCAATGTTGGCACTAAGCCTGCTAGTGATGGTCTCGAGCTTGTGCTCATGGGGTGGCGATGACAGAGTGGTGTCGCTGGTAGAGGTGGCAATCAGAATCCAAATCCATGAATCCAATCCAATCCATCCACCAAATTATTCACCTAATTTAATCCATTTGATCCAAATTCAATTGGATTGGTGGATTCATGGATCCAAATGGCAAATTATGATTTGGTACCTATATTTTTTTATATTTTATATTTTGGTACCTAAAAAATATATTTTTATACGAAAAATATCGTTGGAAAATTACATTTTGGTACCTAAAATTTTCAAATTTTACATTTTGGTCCAAGCCTTGGATGTCATTTGGATTCATGGATCAATCCACCAATCCATTTTATCCATGGATCCACCAATCCAATCCACGAATCCGATCCAATTGCCACCTCTAGTCGCTGGCATCCGCCGGTTCATCTACTTCAACTAGTTGGTTCAAAGCCGCCACTCGAAACCAGCCGCCACCATAGGTGGTTATCATTGTGGCTGGGCTGAAACTCGTGGTCAATGATGGTCACTCATCTGGCGGTCACCCTTGTGGTATATAGGTCGGATCTAGGGACGTCCGAATCTTGATCTGATGTGCTCAGTATGGACAATCATCCACTTCCTCTTTTACTTGGTAAAACTCAAACTCTTTGGGAGAACTCGACCATTCTAGGAGCAATGATGGGAGAGCGATACTCCTACCTTGTGTCCCCACCACGACAAGCAACAAGGTTGGAGATTTGGCCTCTTTCATCTCGTTGGGGCTCTCTTCTGGATCTCCTTTCGCGTTCAGCATCGACAGATTGGTGGTGCCCTAAGCTAGCATCGACAGCAGGAGCTTCTTGTCCAACCCCATGGCCGCTTGCTCCCACGCCATTTTCTCTCTTTGCATCCTGAGTCAGCGCGCCCTCTACTATTCGCGTTAACGTCGAGCCTTTGTTAGGAACTTCCTCCACACACGAATGCAGTTTTTCCTTCGGCGGCAACAGTGTAGACACGACAACCTATAAGTTATCATTCCTCGCCAGCTTTTCTAGCTCCAGCTCAAAAGCCTTTGCAATTTCTCTAAGAGAGAGTTTGAAGCTCGATACGTATTCTGTATGAGTGCTTACAACCATGGCTCTAAATATCACTGTAAGAAACCCTGTTCTAGGGTGTCTTCGGATTGGGTTACAAATCTTAGCACCCGTGATTACCCCTAACAAGATAGGGTAAATAACTAAATATAAAGAATTTAGGGATTGAGAATAAAATTATGGATTTGAAAATAACTAACAATGAGTATAACCACAATAAAATCAATATGGTGCTAGAGTAAGTGGGTGCATTTTTCTCATTATTATTTCAACTCAATTGAACAAACTAATTGAACTACAGTAGAACCTCTCCAAATTAATAAATAATAAATTAATAATTTATCCTATGATGCGCGGCTAATTTTAACACTATAGGATCCATCAGTGCAAGTCTACTGAAGACCGTGATTGATGATGGAGTAGGTGGCTTAGGTCTACCTCTCGCCTAGTGGGAAGTAATGGGGTTTTCTAAAATTAAATGAAGAAGTAGTAGACTCTTTCTCTTTAAAAAGTTATTTAACCAATTTACCAAAAAATTAAGGATGGCGGTTTGCAAAAATCAAGTGAAAAGCAAGTACATTGCTCACTTGCCTATGAGAATTCCTGAGCCGAGCTAACAGAAAATGCCTAATAAATATTAAAAAAATAAAGAAATGGAAGTACCGATTTGGTCCAATGTAAAAAATGAGCAAGTTAAATAAAATAATAAGATAACAATTTTTGAGAACAAACCTATAAATACATGTATTTTCAATTTTATAAATTATTAATTTTAAAATTATAAAAAATAAAATTCATAAAAAATTAACAAGATAACAAGGATAATATAGAAAATATGAATCTATAGTTGTTGTGTAAGTCTTTATTTGTCTTGTTCTCTTCTTTCGATTTTTGTTGTTGCTAGGGAGTGATCTTGTAACTTGAAAATAAATTCCGAGTTAAACGAATGTTATAGGATCCGATCAAGAAAAATAAGAGATTAGAAATAGTAGTTGTGACTATTTAGCATTATCCTCTCTCTCTTCTCTGCCTTTTCACGTTAGGCCGTTAGAATTTTTTTTCCCTTTTATTGAGAATTAATGTGAGCCTCCAAATTTCATTAAAATGGACGAATGGAGATGGATTTTGAAGTTATTAGTTTTGTATAATAACCGCCCCCATTAATAATTATTGTATTAATTATAGAGGTTTTACTGTATCATGTATTCATTTTTTTTACCAATAGATCACTTGTATTACCAAGGCAAACAGCTAGCACAGTTTACAACTCATGAACAAACCAACGAAAAAAATCAAATGTATCTACAACTGCAGGCAACAAAGAAAGGGTCTTCCTATCCACCTCATGGGCCACCCGATTGTTACTCCTGCTAATAAAAGCCATCTCCAAACGAGGTAATGCAGCCGCAGCTTCCGAATTTCTTCAAGAATCCGCCCACCTTTCACATCCCGAGCATCCATATTCTGGATTTTCTCAAGAACAACCTTCGCATCCCCACAGAATTGCACTTTGGCTAGTCCCTTCAAAGAGCACCACTGAATTGCATCACGAAACGCCACCAATTCCACCAGAAAAGGATCCTCCAGACCTGCATAACAAAACCCTTGCACAAAACACAACCTCCCCAACCCCATCATAAACCACCAAACCCCCAGCCCCATGCGAACTAGCGCGTACATCACCATCCACATAGCATCGATAAGGCATAGCAATCTGTGATCTACAAGCCACACTACTCGTACCCCCTCCCTGTTGACCCCGATTCACTCTATCCTGCCCAGCCTCAGCCAGACTCAACCACTCACGGACCTGCTCCTCAAATTGCCTCACCAGTGTACTCACCCCATACTGTACATGATCAAACACCACCCAATTTCTACTCTTCCAAATCCTCCAAAGAGTTGCCACAAACCGAACTATCCTCTCTACACTGGCTTCCTGCTCAAAAAATCATCGAAGGAACAAAGCAAAATTCAATGGAGGCTGCCTCACAAGCCCTTCCCCCAAACCCGACCTCTCCCAAAGCACCCTTGCCATCCTGCATGAAAGAAACATATGCTCCAAAGTCCCCAACGGCGCCCAACAAACCGGACACCTGGGATCAACAGCCTCATCACCAGAATCAGGTTTCACTTCCCCCGGTATTCTACCAGTCCGCTCAATTATCGTTTCCATAGTAGGGAGGATCCGCTTCATGCTCTGCCAAAGGAAGCACTTCAACTTTGGCGGAATGGGAAGTCCCCAAAGCTTTTTCCAACATTTCATATAAAAAAAAAGACACCTCAGCCTTCCAATCCTGAATCTGCTTAGCATACCGAAAGGCCAAACGGTACCCCGACTTCACCGTATACTCCCCATCCCCCTCACCTGTCCAGACTTGGCTATCTTCCACCCCACCCCTCGGCAGTGGTATAGACTGGATAGCCTGCACTATCGGCTGAGAGAAGCATTGGTCCAAACATTCCGAGCACCATTCACCCTTGCTAGGTACCAGCAGCGAGTTAACCGTTACTCCTATCAGATCTGATGCCGAGGCCTTCACTTCAAGCTCCTCCGAACTAACACCCGGGTTAGCTCACTTGTTGAAGGCCCATATCCAGCCCAAGGGTGAGAAATTACCAACAAAGTTTACTGCGCAAAGAGGTTTAATGAAAATGGCAAAAAAAAAAAACAAAAACAAAAAACAAAAACAAAAAAGGTTTAATGAAATCCGGATGGTCGGCAGATTGCAGGCTTTTGTTCGGTAGGTGAAGGATAATTCTAGAACTCTGTGCTCGACCGTCCGATTGGTCCACTTTTTATGGTACTATTATATTAATAATAACTAGTCAGTCAAAATAACCATAGCTCTAATCGCTTACTCACACTCACCAGTCACCACAGTCCATATTCATTTCCCCAAAACTCTCAGCTCTATTCGTCTTCTTCATCCTCATCCGCGAGAAGAAAAAAGCCAGGGGGTGTTCTGAGGTAAGCACGCGTCCTCTCTTCCTTCTTTCCTTCCACCGCTTCCAGATATCCGATTCCAGTAACGCTCCTGGTTCCGCTAGTCTGGACGAAATCTCGTCTCCGATCGGAGTTTATTTGCGATCTATGTATTTGATCTTGGTTTGTCGTTTTCTCTGATTCTTCTCTCTATGAAGATCTGCGTCCCGTCGGTTGGATTTCTGTTCTTCACGTTTTCTGTGCGAATTATTCGCTTCTGACTTGCTCGAGCGTTGAATCCAGCGATTCTGAGCTCGCGCTTCCTGCTTTGTTTGGCTGTGGTTTTGCGGTTGTTCCGTGGTCGTAGATCGCGATATAGTTTACTGATTGAACACTGCGTTTGGTTCAGGACGATGCCGATCGCGATGTTGATGTTTTAGTGACTGTAGTTTGTTCTTTCTAAGCTGTATCAGCTTAGACGTGTCGTTCTTATGGCGCTAGATATCTTGTAGAGACTGTAGTTTGTGCTTTTAAGATTTAGCTTGTTGTTCTTGAGTTGTATTCTTGCCACGATAGGCTAGAAAGGGGGAGAGAGAGAGAGAGAGAGCCCTGAGAAATGATGAAGAGCATGATCGATTGAGTATCAGTTAAATGATTCACGGCAAGACGAACAAGTAGTTGTTGTAATCTGCAATTGGTTGTGGATCTTCAGATGCCTGGATTGCGTAGTTGACTTTTTTTTTTTTATATAGATGTGCTTATAGATTCGTTGTGGTGATATTCTTTTCTAGTCTGAAATTGATGTGCTGTTTTATTGCTTGTCCATTTTAGATCACATTAGAGCAAAATGGTGAAGGCAGTTGTTGTGCTCGGAAACAGTGATGGTGTCCAAGGGACTGTCTACTTCACCCAGGAAGGCGATGGTAAATAATCCCATATGCTCTTTACTCGGTGGACATACGAGTGTGATTTGCCGTCTCTCTATTGTTAAATCTTTCTTGCTTGTTTGCTCTTCAGGTCCTACCACCGTGACAGGAAACATCTCTGGTCTCAAGCCAGGGCTTCATGGCTTCCACGTCCATGCCATGGGAGATACTACAAATGGCTGCATGTCGACTGGTACATAACCACCCCTTTTGTGCTTACTGTTGGATTTTTCGAAATGCTGTGTGCTCATTTTGTACCTTTGCTTGTGCAGGCCCACATTTCAATCCTCATGGCAAAGAACATGGAGCCCCTGAAGATGAACACCGCCATGCTGGTGACCTTGGAAATGTTACAGTTGGAGATGATGGTATGGCTTTGATTGGTTGAATGATTCTCAAGTTCCCAATAAAGTGGTTGATTAATATTCTTTTCGCATACAAGTTTGATGGGATTTGTTACTGAATATTGTCTTCAGGTACTGCAACTTTCACTATTGTTGACAAACATATCCCTCTTACCGGTCCACACTCCATCATTGGGAGGGCTGTTGTTGTTCATGCTGATCCTGATGACCTTGGAAAGGGTATATATCATTGCCCATTTACTTCTATATTACATCTCCCCGTTTTGCTCTTCAGATCTAGTCAGAATTTGGTTAATACGGAATGCTGGTTCAGTGTGACCTGTGCATAAACTTCTAAAGGAATTTTGGAACCTAGGACTCGTGCTGGTTTTGAGAGGCCGCACATGGCTACTTACAGCATGAATGCTATGCTTAGTCTGCTGATACAGAAGTCATGGCTGCCTAGGAGCTAGACTAGTGTTTTTATGCTTAATACTGCTCCATGTTTCATTTCCCGATGTGAACCTAATGTGATGCATTACATGCTTTTTTGTCTCTAAAAAACGCAGGTGGACATGAACTCAGCAAGAGCACTGGCAATGCTGGTGGAAGAATTGCCTGCGGTGAGTTTAGAATAACTCGAATGTCGAGATTGGAATGAAATCATTCATTTGTATCTAGTGGATTTGAATACTGACACGAACACGATTATCTTTGACAGGCATTATCGGGCTGCAAGGTTAAGGCACTGGCGTCGCTCTTGTTTCCTAGGCTGCTTGAATAAATGGGAAAAATGCTAGATGAATGTTTAACGAGTCAATGTTGAGTGAGTGATAGTTGATTTGTGAGGGATAAGGAAAAGGGAAAAAGAAAGAATGAGAGAGAACCCTCTTGAATAAAGAGAACAAGAACGCTACTTTGGTGTACCTTTTTTATAGCTGGATTTGTGGTTAATCGACTTCTAGTTTGATTGGTCTATGGACAGTCTCTAATATATTCACCTCCTACACTCTGGAATGCGAGGTAGCTGCTGAATGGCAGCCAAAACTGTTATGCCTTGCTTTAGCAGTGGCGTAATACTGTTCTAGAGTTTGGGATCCACCCACCCTAGAAAACAACCGAAACAGTTGTGGGTGGGCGGAAGGTGTTAAGGTGGGTTGTCAGTGGATTGTCGGTAACCCGACGACCTAAAACTCACTCCCAACTTCCAAGAAATGAAGGTAGGAATGCGTATTTGGGTGGGTTGGGTGGTTTAATGTGGGTTGAGGGTGAGTTTGTCAGGTCATACGTTCAGTGCTTATCAGGGGAGAGTATCTTCTATTTTTCAACATTCTTTATTGCCTTTCATCTCTGAATTTGTGTCACTGTTATAAACGCGTTGCTACGAATGGGAAATTGTCGGAATCGATAAAGTAAGAATATGAAAGCGAGAATCGAAAAAACACAGACACACGATTTACGTGGTTCATTAATAAGATGTGTGTTAGCTAGTTTACGGGCGAGAGAGTCATTTTCACTACATCGAGGAGATTACAAATTACAGAGGAGTATGAGAAGTATTTATAGTACTTCTCCATGTGGGTTTAAACCTAATCCAATCTAGCAAAGGAAACAGTTACAGACCAGGCCCAGAACCCGAACCCAAATAACATTGAGCCCATACACTGTGGGCTAATCTAGTTATAGCGACTGATAGTACGATTCAAGTAACATCAATATTTACAAACCCCTAATTATCTACTTCTCTTCTCCTTTTTGGATGCACCGGTTGCTCTAGTCCTAGGATGAAACAATCCAATTTGGTTAAACCGACTAAATTAACTCGATTTTTTAGTTTTGGATTTGGAGATGATTGAAACTGGAAATTAGACTACTCCTTAAAAAAAAAAATAGTATGGGCAATCAAAAAATCTTATTAAGCTCAAGATGAGTGATAAATCAGTCTCCCTCACAAAAGTGTTACATGTACAATCAATCTCCCTCACAGAAGTGTTACATGTACAACACATGTACATTTCCAAGTGCCTCTTACTATCAATGATTAAACTCTAATCATATAGTGACACTACTACACTAACTAATAAATTAGGGTAACGTCTATTTTTTATCCAATTTTTTTTCAGATCTTTTATATTATCCAAATCTATTAAAATGTATCAAAATATTAATTAGCCAAATCTTTCGTAATGCATCAAAATATTAACCATTTTTACGTTATCGTTAATAATTTTTCAATTTGAAAACGGAATGGAATCAGTAAGCAAGACAGAATATGCTCTTACTGCTCTAGAAATAACTTCCCCCGTCTTCCTCTTTTTCCTTGGGGTGAGTTTCGGGCTTATGTGGGCCGCCATCTTACTGCAAAACATCATTAAGTGGTTCATGGGGTCTCGTGTGCCATCATATTTTTCAAACTTTGGCATTTTTCACTTTTCTGGGATCACTAGATCCGGTATTAGCCACATGGTTGCTGCGCCGGGAGTAAGAACATTTGCTGATTCCAGGGCTTTAAGCCTGGCTTCAAATTCTGAGTATTTATTGGTGGCATCGTCACCATCCTGCTTTTCTTAGTTAAATTACTAAAATTGTGCAATGTTGACCATCATGTGTCTCTTCTAAGTCAATATCATGTTGTCAAGTCAAAATTACTAACAAAATTGGGGTAAATAACACATTTGGTCACTGAGATTATTAAATCATGTCATGTTTAGTGATTAGAAAAAATTAATATCAATTTTGGTCACTCGAATTACTGAAACATCATATTTAGTCACTCTCCCGTTAGTTTCCGTCCAACTCCAAAGCCTTCAAAGCTTGATAAAGTACATTACAAACCCCTCAAAGTTTGATGTGTTCCATTTACATTCTCGTATTCATCATTATTCATTAACATCCTCATTGGCAGCAGTACCTTCTGAAACTGGTCGAGGGGATGATTTCAATCATAGCTGAAGTCATAAGAGAATCAAAGCAGAAGTTGCTTGCTTCTTCGAGCCATAAAAATGGAAAGAAAGGAATATACCTTGTTGTGCGGGTAAAATACTTCGGGTGTTAATTAAGTTTGAAAATTTGGATAGACATACTATTTAAATTTAAATAGGGAATCAGATACCTCTAAACTCTATTATATGTGCATCCGGTACCACTTAAGTTTACTGCTAAGTGCATTCCGTTAAAGTTGAAAAAATATTTTTGGAATATTCCGTTTTCTTAATTTCATTATTGGTCCTTCTACTTTTCTTATTGTAAAAAAATCATTTGGACTTATGAAAAACATCATTTTTTATCGTTTAGTTAGAATCCTCTTTTGAATACTGTATACCAAACCAATTTTTGAATAGAAAATTTAGAATCAATTATCATTATAATTATTTTCAATTATCATTATGTATTCTAATAATTGAATTATTTCATGAATGTTGTAACTAAACAATGTTGTAACTTTTATAGTCGTATTTTCTTTTCTACTTTTTTACCGAATGTAGTAGCTTTTATATTTTATTTATTATTTGGTTACTTTCCATCTCTTTTCGTTCTAAATTTTTTCAATTAGTGGAATATGTTTAATTCTTTCTGATTGTGTTCCATTTATCCTTCTTTGATTTTGATGTACTGATGATCGATTAAGTTCTATTTTAACTATTTCTAATGGTACTTCTAATTGAATTAGAGGGTTTAAATATATATTCTAATATTTATTTTAAATATTTATTATACTTCTTGATATTCGTTTATTATTTTTACTAATTTATCTATTTTATTGACAAATTTGATTAGTCATTCTAGTCATAATATGTTTAGAAAGTTTTTTAATTATTATATTAGATAAAACTTGTTGAAATATAGTTTTGTGATTATGAAAACCCCTCACACCAGCAATTCTCCATTTAAATAATCATCCACAACTATTGCACGTACTGCCACTTTGAATCGACAACCCAACTTGCCCGTCCTCGTATTATTCCGCCTTTACTTAATAGGATTTGGGATATATGTTATGCTCCTGCAACTATGGTTGCAATCCATATATATCCGCATATTCGTTTCTCCCAGATTTTGCTTGATTGTCGACACTATCAATAAAAAGCCAAGAGATTTTGCTATCTCCTATGCTGCTTCCCGAGCTTCGTCCTCAGTATCATAAACACGTGCACTTATGAAGAATTGGGTGTAATAAACTTTCACCTTCGTCATCTCGAGAACCTCCCTGCAAAAAATATACGAAAATTTTCAAATCAATCCACCATTAGTCAATACAATTTTATTTATTATTATAAACTTTATTTAAATAAATACTTACCGTATTACTCATACCAAACTCCTTATTATATCAACGGTGTTGTCAGTTGTGTAGCAACCTTCAAAAAGTTGTCTCCCTAATAAACAATAATATTAGTCAAAATTAGAGATAATTTAATCCAAAAATTAAATAAAGAGTAATGACTATTTATTAGCCAAACATTTTTCGAATTCTTTTTTATTAGCCAAACCTATTGAAATACTAAGAATTAGCCAAATGTTAACTTTCAGTTAGCAATTTTGTTAGTAATATTGACTTGGCAAAATGATACTAACTTGGAAGAGACAGATGAAGGTCAACATTCCGATTTTAGTATTTTAACTAAGAAAAGAGATGCAAAATTATTAATAATAACGTAAAAATGACTAATATTTTGCTGCATTACAAAAGATTTGGCTATTTAATAGCATTTTAATAGGTTTGACTAATTAATAACATTATGAAAGGTTTGTAGCACCACAACCTCGTCCTCATCTTGGACCTCACTTGCTCTTTCTACTTCAACCACAACCTCCCTTCCTTCTTCCTCAATGTGTTCCTCCCCCTTGCGAATAACCAAGATCTTCCTCCTCTTCAAAGCTCACTCCCTCTTCTTCAACCTCTTCTATCACCTTCCCAGTCATGACTTCAAAGGTTTTCTCGGGAAGGTGATCAATGCAACCTTCTTGGTCATCCTCACCACGGGAGCTCTCAGGGGTGAGTTCCTCTTGCTCAACATGGTTGTCATTGAACGACCCTTCAACCTCCTCTTCTTCTTTCGACGGTAAGAGCCGATGGCGGGCACAAGCTCGTGCCACCTTCTCTTCAAGTGTCAAACTGGGGGGAGGGAGGGGTTAGAAATCCATGTAGGAGCTTGTTCTTTCAAAGTACTCATGGGTTGCCTCTTCGACTTCCTTTCCTTCTTTAATTTGTAGGAAATGATTGTGAGCAAGTTGTGCACATGATTTCTCAACAATCCCTCCTATCTACTCTATGTTTTGAAGGATATCCTCTGATGTCCGTAGGAAGGATGAGTCGATAGGGTCGGTGATTGGAAGATCCGCATTGGAGCATCCTTTGTCAGTTCGCACGGCAAATTGCTCCACCATGAGCTCCAATTCGCTCTTTGGCTCCGATTGTGGAGTGGCGCATGGGCTTGAATGCCCGATGAAAGCCTCCATGGCCAACTCCAACTTGGATTTCACCTCGGGTTGTGGAGGAAAATCTTCTTTGTATGGGTAAGCTTCTTGATACCCGCCATTGGTATGGTTCTTCTTCTTGGAAGGGTGGTTGGTAATAGAACCCTAATCCTTGACTTACACCACTTTGATCGTCCCACGGAGCTCCAAGGTAATCACTCTCGGGTGGTGGTGGATACCCCCACACTTGGTAGAAATCATAATGATCCATGATTCGAAACCTACAAAACAAAAAGAAAAAGAAAATCAAACAAACACAAACCACCCTTCAAAGCGAAGAGTGGGTTAACAAACACAAAACAAAACACAAAACGGCTAAAATAACGACCTAAGCCTTTTTCTGATAACCTAAAACGGGTCCCCGACAATGGAGCAAAAAACTTAACTTGACTCTAATTACACATCTCAATCGACGACTAATCCCACTTGTGTGATCGAGCTTTAAATTTATAAGTCGATGCACACTCTCTATTCAATCCTAAAACTAATCCAAGCATAATCTAGCTAGGGTTGTAGTAAAGTGGCTCGGTCGTATTCCAAGGGAACCCTAAACTTATTATTACTTTACTCCGAACTACTATTTAATCAAATCGGAAGTTTGGGTGGAGAATCTAATCTAACCTAGTCCTAAAAACCAACCAAGTGGTTGGGAGACCGCTACAAATAAGATGGTTGCCTAGAATTGAATTCCCCTAGCTATAGTC